CTGATTGGCTCCTCCGCCGCCCCCTCTATGGCTTGCGACAGGCGGCCCGTGAGTGGCACAACACGTTGCGTGCAACACTTGCTGACTTGCAGTTCTTCCCTTTGTCTGCAGACCCCTCGCGCTTCATCCATTCCGACCAGACTCTGTTCTACATCCTTGTCTACACAGACGACCTGGTCTTTGCTACTGCAGACAGAGACGCGCTGGCCTCCGTGAAGGCCAAGCTGCTGAGGAGACACACCTGCACTGACCTAGGAGAGCTGCGCCGCTACCTTGGCTTGCAGATCTCCAGGGACAGAGTAGTGCGCACCATCACTCTCTCACAGTCACACTTGGTGCGCCAGGTCCTTCAGAGGTTCAGCCTTCAGTTCTCTTCTGCCCAGCCCACCCCTCTGCCTGTAGACCACAGACTCTCTGCTCCAGTCCTGGAGTAGGCTATAGAGCCTAGTGGCCCCTACGCAGAGCTGGTGGGTTGCCTCATGTACCTGATGACTTGCACTCCTCCAGATCTCGCATACCCTCTCAGCATCCTGGCTTGCTGTGTGGCCACCGGCAGACACTGACCACAGCACTAGTCAGCAGCGAAGAGGGTTTTGCGTTATCTAGCAAGTACATCAGGCATGGGGCTAGTGCTAGGAGGACGTATACCAGTGGTCCTTACTGGCACACAGATGCTTCTTGGGCCGACGATGCCGAGACTCTCTGGTCCTCACAGGGCTACAGCTTTAGGGAGCAGTTGAAGAATTTGACAAGCGTCGTCAACGACCTCCACGATGAGAACCAGCGACTTCTCCAAGCGCATGAGAGGTGTCCAGAGGAGCCGGGCAACGATGCACGAAGCGAGGCGGGTGAGCAGCAACCGTCGCCAGTAGAGCTGGCACAACTAGCAGCAACAGCCCCGCGCTCGACAAGTGGCAACGTAAGATATCGACAACCCACTCCTTTCGACCTAGCTAATAAAGGCGTGACGGTGCGGTAGTGGATATTCGCAATGAATATCTCTTTTAACATGGCGGGCATCAGAGACGAACAAAAGCGGATCAGCCATGCGTTAACACTGTTGCAAGGGGCCGCCCTACAGTGGTGGAAATTCATCGTCGACTCAGCGGCAACTCGCACAGAAGGACAGCACGAGTGGTCCGAAGAATTCGGCGACGAAGACGAGGCAGACCTGTTGTTCGGAACGACCCACATTCGCACGTGGGCAATGTGGTGCGTAGAGCTTTGCAAGCGGTTTGAGCATGCTCTTGACTCAGACAAGGCAGTGAAACTCTACGCATGTGGAAGCAGTTGGGATCTGTGTCCGAGTACACGGCGTCATTCCTGACGTTGGTGGACAAATGTGTCTACATGCATGACTTGGAGAAGGTCGACAGGTACATGGGCGGCTTGAAGTCCAAAATACAATACGAGATAAAACTGCAATGCCCTACGAAGCAGTTACAAGACTACATCCAGCTCGTCGAAGCCGCTGATTCGATCACGAAGCTGAGGACGAACTTCTATGACGGAGGTCGCCCTCGAGAACAGTACCAGTGTGCCGCGATAAGAGGTTGGACGCAGTGGATATTTTCGCAGTTGCTCCGCGAAATACGGGGCTATGCTACCGGGTCAAATCCGATGCAATTGTCAAGAATTCATAGCCCACTAGAATTCTATGGGGAAGAAGCCGGAGGAGCGACCGGGAAATGGGTCGCGTCAGTAAGTACCGGGCCCCTTAATGACGGGCAGGCTTCTTCGCCCGAACCACATAGTCCCCACCAGGTCGTGATCCCGATTGCTGCAATCGACCGGACCTGGACGAATAAGGGGGACGAAACTGCTGATCACTCTGTGTTGGTGGAGGGTAAAGTCAACAGAGTGTTGCTGAAGATTTTCGTCGATGGAGGCGCGAGTCACAGTCTCATACAACTGGGCAGGGCTAAAAAATTGGGTATACCCTTACTCAAGTGTCTACCTGAAATTGACGCCCGACTGGTGGACGGAACACAACTGGCAATACGGGAACGAGTGGAGAATGTTGGTTTTACCTGTGGGGAGCACATAAAATTTCATATGGGACTACTGGCAACTACTCTCGACGGGTGCGACGTGCTGCTGGGACGTGATTGGTTGCGACGGTACAACCCGAAGATTAACTGGACGATGGGCGGCTGCAGCATCAAGCTCGATGGGATTTCCCACGAGCTGCCCAAGTGGACGGGGCCTCACATGCGAAGCACCCAAGTCCATGCAATCAGTTTCAAGCGTGCGATGAAGGCTGGAGCTGCAGCATACGCTGTTGATCTTTGCGAGGTAACATCGATGGTCGAGACCGAAGATATCGAGAAGCTGTGCAAGGCCGTCCCTCGGGGTTAGCAGACATGATTCGGAAATACCCAGAGATTTTCCCGGACGATTTGCCAGCTGGACTCCCGCCGAGCCGACCTGAAGACCACCGAATCAAGCTAGAACCAGGCGCCCAACCGACAGTACAGCGCCATTTTTGGCTCAGCCAACCAGAACAGGAAGAATTACAGCAGCACCTGGATTACCTTCTAATGAAAGGTTTTATCCGGCCCAGCACGTCACCATACGCCGCCCCGATATTGTTCACGCTGAAGAAGGATGGAGGATTCGGAATGTGTATTGTCTATCGCGCGCTCAACCGGATCACCATCAAGTCGCATTACCCGATCCCGCGAGCCGACGAACTTCTTGACCAACTTTGTGGTGCCAAGTTTTTCTCGAAAATCGACTTGCGAGGAGGTTACCATCAGATTCGCGTCGCCGCCGAAGATTGTCACAAGACGGCATTTCGAACCCGCTACGGCAGCTACGAGTACCTGGTGATGCCTTTTGGCCTCACGAACGCGCCCTCGACCTTCCAAGTGACCATGAATGGAATTTTCAGGGAACTCTTGGACAAATGCGTCATCATCTACCTCGACGACATACTAATCTACAGCCGCAGCAGGGAGCAGCACTTACAGGATCTTGATGCAGTCTTCACGCTGCTGCACAAGAATCGCCTCATCACCAAAGGGTCTAAGTGCGACTTTCTTAAGCAGGAGTTGGAGTTTCTAGGCCACATCGTCTCTACTAAAGGAGTAAAATTGACCCCAAGAAAATCACAACCATACAGGAATGGAAGCCGCCAAGCAACATCAAGGAGCTGCAGAGTTTTTTGGGCTTCGTCAATTACGTCCGCATGTTTATACCCAATATGGCTGGGTTATCTGCCCGCTAACTGACCGACTCAAGGATCACGATTGTTTTTGGTGAGGAGAGAAGCAGCAAGCAGCATTTGACCAACTGAAGATTGCGCTCACGTCGCAGCCCGTCCTTCGCATCCCCGATCCTGACCATCCCTATGAAGTCATCACCGACGCTAGCGTCATCGCCATCGGTGCCGTTCTTCTACTGGATTTCGGCAAAGGACTACAGCCCGTCGCCTACGAATCACGGAAGCTCCAGGGCGCAGAGAAAAATTACACAGTACACGACAAGGAAATGTTGGCGATCGTCCACACGTTCAAGACCTAGCGGTGCCCTGTTGGCCCCCGCATCCTAGCTGGCCCCGTCGCCCAATCGGCCCCGCCGTCCAGCCGGCCCTGTAGCTCAGTCGGTCCTGCCTCCTAGCCGGCCCCGCCTCCTAGCTGGCCCCGTTGCCCAATCGGCCCCGTCGCCTAGTCGGCCATGTCGTCCGATCGGCCCCGTCGCCTAGCTGGCCCTGTCGCCTAGCCAGCCCCGTATCCCAGCCGACCCCGCCTCCTAGCCAACCCCGCCTCCTAGCCAACCGAGCCTCCTAGCCGGCCCCGTCGCCTCGCCGGCCCCGTCTCCTAGCTGGCCCCGCCTCCTAGACGACCCCATCGCCTAGCAGGCCCCGTCGCCCAGCCGGCCCGGTCGCCTCGTCGGCCTCGTCGCCCACCCGGCCCCGTTGCCTAGCCGGCCCCGTCGCCCGACCGGCCCCGTCCCCTAGCTGGCCCCGTTGTCCAGCCGGCCCCGTGGTCCAGCCGGCCCGGTCGCCTTACCGGCCCTGTTGCCTAGCCGGCCCCGTTGCACAGCCGGCCCCGGCCCCGTAGCCTAGCTGGCCCCGTCACCTCCACGCCTAGCCGGCCCCGTCGCCTAGCCGCCCGCGGCCCCGTCTCCTAGATGCCTCGCCGCCGTCATCGGCCCTCTGCACCGCCCTGCACCGCCCGATACCGCACACCACCGAACTGCACCTCCCAATACCGTACTGCACTGCTATGCACCGTACTGCACCGCACTACACCGTACTGCACCGCACTACACCGCTCTGCACTGCACCGCACATCACCCTATTGACCTGCATCTCCGTCTACCGCACTGTACAGCACGGCACCGCACATCACCACTTCCCCTCGCACCCTACTGCCCAGTACTTCCTTTTCACTGCTGCAGCGACCATGATGGCGGACTCGGTCCTGCATTTTGATGCGGATGGGCAGCCGATTGATTTCAACTCGTGGCTCGTCGACCTCCGCCGCCACCTGACTGGTCAGCGGCAGGACGGCCAGGGTGTGGCCGTCCACATCAATGGTACACCCCCCTGCCCGGACCCCCTTGCTGCTCTACCCGCTGACCCCACGTCTGCTGACTATGAGTTCGCTGCCACTGCTGCCCTTGCACATGCTGTCTGGTTATCGCATGACACTGTCGCACAGCTTGCGATTAGTCATGCCCTCCTCCTATCCAAGCGACCCCCCTTTAGGTCGGTCAGGACTGCGCAGGAGTTCATAGAGGCTGTTGTCGCGAGCTATTCCACCCCGCCCTCTGCCTCCGTCGGTCGCCTTATCCTGCCCATGCTCTTTCCTGACCTCGCGTCTTTCCCTACTATCGCTGACCTAGCCGCCCATCTATGCACGCTGTACACGACCTTGCACGCTGCCTGCACTGAGGCCCAGTGTCACAGGATCGAATGTGTCGAGGAAAGGTTGCACTATCGATCAGTACAAGGCGCTTTTATACTTCCAGAGTACATCAGGTAACCAGGTTTATCGTATCCTAAGGGAATAGACCCTTCTAGAAGATAGAATCACCCTGCGTATAGCCACGCGAGGCAATTGGCTTTAAGGGATTACGGCAGGATTACGCTAGATAGAGCACACCAATACATCCCAAGCCTGGTCGGTGATATAATGATAATAGCAGGATAAACCAAAGGTTAATGGAAAAGGAAGAATAGGAACCCAAATGAGATGCGGTAAAACGAGAAATGAAAAGGGAAGGAAATAAGAAAAGGCCAAGTGGTGTAACGGGGTCGTACTCTCACACTTCCCCCCCTCAAAGCTGGGTGGTAGAAGTAACACCCTGCTTGACAAGGTAGTCATGCAGAGGACGACGGGCGTTACCCATGTCGGACTCAGGTATCCAGCTGTCCTCAGAAGGATCATAACCCTTCCAACGGATGAGAAGCTCCAGGGTGCCATTCCGACGACGGCGGTGTGCGAGCACGGACTCGACCTCGTACTCGGGTTCATTCTGGACGAGGACGGGCGGTGGCGGCGGCGGTTGGCGTCCCACAAAGATCGTGTTAGGATCTCGATAGGGCTTCAGAAGTTGGACATGGAAGGCGTTGTGAATCTTCCAGGTAGCTGGCAGGCGTAAGCGGAAGGTAACAGGAGTGACTTGTGCTTCAACGAGAAAAGGCCCGCAGAAGCGAGGTCGAAGTTTAGATGGGAGATGGCTGATGTCCAGGTTGCGGGTGTCAAGAAGCACCTGGTCTCCTACCGTGATGGTGTGATAGTTGCGATGGCGATCGGCTTGGCGCTTTTGTTGCTGTTGAATGTCGAGTAGGCGCTTGTGGGTCCGATCCCAAAGCTGGTGCATGGTTGTAATGAAATCATGTGCGGGTTGGACTGTAGCTGATGCTGTCGGTTTTTGTGGTGTGAGTGGGTGGCGTCCGTAGCAGAGGAAGAACGGCGTCTGTCCAGTAGCGGCATGTGTAGCATTGTTGTAAGCAAACTCGAGTACGGGCAGGTGCAAGTCCCATTTGGAGATGTCGTCCTTGCAGGCTGCTCGGAGGAGTTGCTCAACAATTTGGTTGAGGCGCTCGGTCTGTCCGTCTGTCTGCGGATGGTATGCGGATGACATGGCGAGTTTGGTGCCGAGCAGAGACATAAGTTCCTTCCAGAACTTGCTAGTGAACTTGGGGTCTCGGTCGGAGATGAGTGTAGTTGGGATGCCATGCTGTGAGATGATGTGACGAACGAAGAGCTGTGCTGTCTCCTCGGTGCGTGCCGTCGTGTGTGTCGGGATGAAGTGTCCCATTTTGGAGAACTTGTCAATGACGACAAGGATGGCGTCATGACCGCTGGAGGTAGGTGGTAACCCGGTGATGAAGTCCAGGCTAACCACATGCCATGGCTGTTCTGGGACAGGAAGAGGCTGCAGTAGTCCCGCCTTTTTCTGCTTGCTGCTCTTCATCCGCTGACATGTATCACACGAGGTGACGAATTTCTGGACGTCGTCTGCCATATGGGGCCAGTAGTAGTGTTTGGCGATACCGGTGAGCGTCTTGTTGCTACCGAAGTGTCCGGCGTACAGGACGTCGTGGTATTCTTCGAGTAGTAACTGGCGCAAAGGAGGGTAGTTGGGTACCCAAATTTTTGTTGATCCTTTCCGGTACGCGATGTCACTGTCCCACTATAGCAGATGTCGCTTTTCTGCCAAGGAAATTTCGGGGTCGATGGCGTACCCGTGGGTGAAGAGTCCCTTGAGTAGTGGATTCATCCCTTCGACCTGAATCGCGGCAACGTGTGCAGGCCGGCTGAGAGCGTCTGCTTTGTTCTTGTGGCCGGGCTTGTACACGATGTCGTAGTGGAAGTGTGTCTCGAGGAAGTCGATCCACCGGACCTGCCGCCTGGAAAGGTTGGGTTGTGTCTTCAAATATTTCAGGCTGCAGTGGTCGGTGTAGACGGTTGTTCTTCGTCCTTCGAGATAGCATCTCCACGCTTTGAAGGCGATGATGATAGCAAGAGCCTCTTTGTCGTGTATCGGGTAGTTGAGTTCTGCCCCGTGCAGTTTCTTGCTGAGGTAGGCAATTGGTTGCAGTCCATTCCCCTGGTCTTGCATTAAGACTGCACCCACTGCCTGGTCACTGGCGTCAGCTTCGATGACGTATTCGCGTTCGGGATCTGGCAAGATGAGTACTGGTGTGGACGTAAGTGCTTGTTTCAGCTGCTCCACGGCTTCCTGGTGCTTCAGCTCCCATTTGTAGAGCGGGTTCTTTTTCAGCAGATTCGTGAGTGGTGCTGCGAGTTTCGCATACTGTGGCACGAACCTGTTGTAGTAATTAGCGAAGCCTAGGAACTGCTGCAACTCCTTCACGTTCTCGGGTGTCTTCCACGTACGTACGGCTTCGACTTTCTTGGGGTCGACGTGAACTCCTTGAGCGCTCACCATGTGTCCTAGGAATTGGACCTTTTCAAGGGCGAATTCGCTCTTGGACAGTTTGACGTAGAATGTTCCCGTCGAAGAATTTCGAAGACGCGTCGCAGGTGTTCGACGTGCTGCTTCATGTCGCGCGAGTAGATGAGTATGTCATCCAGGTACACCACCACGCATTCGTCCAGAAGTGGTCGTAGAATGTGGTTCATTTCGGCTTGGAATGTTGCCGGCGCGTTGGTGAGTCCGAATGGCATGACCAAATACTCGTACGATCCGTACCGAGTTCGGAAAGCAGTTTTGTGGATAGAGTTGTCCGCCATCCGTATCTGCCAGTATCCGGACCGCAGATCCAGTTTGGAAAATACCGTAGCTCCCCGAAGCTGGTCAAGCAGGTCATCGATTCGCGGTATCGGATATTTATTCTTGATGGTCTGCTTGTTAAGAGCTCGGTAGTCGATGCACATGCGCAGGCTTCCGTCCGGTTTCGGTGTGAAGAGTACTGGGGCACCGTATGGCGAAGTGGATGGTCGGATGAGTCCTTTGGCTAGGAGATACTCGATCTGTTTTTTCATGTCAGTCAGCTCCGTAGGGCTGAGCCGATATGGTGCTCGGAAGGTCGGTTTCGAACCCGGTTCCTCCACAATCTCGTGTTGATGCGCTCGGTATGGCGGTAGCTCGTTCGGAAGATCGTCAGGAAGAATGTCTTGGAACTCCTTCAGTAATTCCTTGATTTTTTCTGGAGTTTCCGAGGCTTTCTCTCCGTCATTCTCCACCTCTGTTGCTATCGCCAGGAACCCGGTGTCGGTCCGCTTCACGTCCTTCTCGAATCGTGCGAGTGTCTCCACTGGGATATGTCCTGTATCGTCCCAGTTGGGTAGCTGTACTCTCCGTCCATTGTTGTAGATGCTTGCGGTGCGGTTCACCCAGTTGATCTCGGGGTTGAATCTTTTCAGGAAGTCTCGCCCGAAGATCAAGTCAAGCCCTTTGATGTTAGTGATGGGGAGTGCAGGTCTCCAGCGCAGTGGTCCGATTTGTAGATGTAGCACTGCTTCGCCGTATACTGGTAACTTGCTGCCGTCCACCATCGTTGCAGAGAATCCTGAAGGCTTGTACTCTTCCCGGAGTCGGTCGATCATTGCCTTGTCGCAGACGGTGTGTGACGCTCCGCTGTCCACGAGTGCTTGGAGGCGTCGTCCTTTGCAGATGACCTCGAGCACGAGGGGCAGTCGTTGCTCGGAGTACCCAAAGATAGTTTCATTGATTGGGTCATAGGGTACATCCCAATATTCCGTACACACCTTTGTGTTGCTGTCTACTCCTGAGCTGGCAGCTGGCCGAGGCTGCTTGGAGAACGGCTCTTCTCCAGGGCCCGGAGTTTCTTTGACGACTGTGTGCGTCACTGATGCCGAAGAACTGGATGCATCCGTAGAAGGAGTTCGGGGTTTGTGCAGCTTCTTGTAGACCCCCAGCTTCCTCTTGAGCTGCTTCAGCTCCACCGACGTCTTCCCTGGGGAGCGGGTAGTCGTTGTGGGCTGGTGTCGGGAGAGGACGTTGACTCCGTGGAAAGGTCGGCTTCTTTCCACACTCCTTAATTTGGTCCCCAAGTTGTCCGGTACCGGTATAATCTCCACAGCTGTCTGCTTCTTTTGGAGTCCCTCCCGAAATTTCTCCAAGGCTCTAGCCCCTCGAACATCATAAGTTTTCATTAAAGCATCTTTATAAGATAACTTTAACGAATTCTTATAATTTCTTGGGTCTTCAAGGAGTTTCCCTGTCTCGGCAGAGTCTTTTTTCGCGGAGTCGTATTTTTTCTCTGCGATTTTCCCTGGCGAAGACTGGTCGTGGGGTGGAGATTTTCCCCCATCATTTCCTCCTTCTCGCGTCGAATCCGCTTCGTCGAAGTCGATTTTTCCGGAATCCCGCGGCCGTTTTCGGATCTTTTTATTTTCGCCAGCTAGATCCGCAATCACTGGCGACTCCCGTTTTTTGTCTTCTGATTGGCCGAAAGATTTCCGCCACTGTTGCGTGCCCGATACTCTGCGCGTGCGGTCTTCATTTTGTTACAGTCGAAGATTCGATGACCCGGCACCCCGCAAAAATCACACGTGTAGTTGGTGTTTTTCGGACGTGGCCGCCCCTCGAATCTGTCGACTTCCATCGGGTCGGCGAACGTGGGGTGAGCCGAGCGGTCGCCCTAATGCGTACTGCCGATGTGCGTCCGTCGTGTTCCGGCGTTGACCATGTCGAAGCGCTCCGCTGCCGAAACGACGTCACTGTAGCTCGCGTAGTTTGACGCTGCTGCGACTTGTCGTTTGACTTCGGTCTTCAGCCCGGCGAGATACGATTGTACTTTTTCCCCTTCGGTCAGGTCGGGAATTCGGTTATAAAATTCTTCCATCTGCTGCGTGTACTGTGCTACACTCCCGAACTGTCGATGGCGATGAATTTTTTCGCGGGCAAGGAAACTCGAATTTATCGGTTCGAAGCGTTTCAGCAGGTCAGCGCGGAACTGCTGCCACGTGGCTTCACCGTGGATGAAAGTACTGTTGCCGCCAATCCACTCGAGTGCCGGCCCTCGCATCAGTGTCGCCGCGAGTCGTACGCGTTGACCGTCCCAGACTGGCGAGCTCCATCCGACGGCTGCGAAGTAGATCTCCATCCCGGCGATCCATCTGCGGGCGTCGGAGTTTCGATCGCTCGGATCGAACGGCTCAGGTGGGCGCGGTTTCGGAGCCTCGAGAAACTGCTGCGACTGCTGCGTCGTCGCCGTTGTCGTCTCGTGCTGTGCTCCGGCGAGTCGAGTTACTCGCTCGAACTGGTTTCGCCACGCTTCGCGATCCGCTCGCATTTCCTCCTGAAGGGCTGCGATGCGCGCGAAGAGCTGCTGGGTAACCTCGGCGTTGTCGAAGGTTGCCATCCTGTTCAAAACACGCACGGAGGGGGTAATTCGAAAATCGCGGAGCTGGTGCTTACCAGAATCGGCGTCGAATTGGTCGCCCCCGGCGGTTTTTCGAGGCAGGATCCCCGCTGCTGCTGCTTAGCTGAGCGCGGCCGAGTGAGAAAAGCTCTGATTACCAAGTGTCACAGGATCGAATGTGTCGAGGAAAGGTTGCACTATCGATCGGTACAAGGCGCTTTTATACTTCCAGAGTACATCAGGTAACCAGGTTTATCTTATCCTAAGGGAATAGACCCTTCTAGAAGATAGAATCACCCTGCGTATAGCCACGCGAGGCTATTGGCTTTAAGGGATTACGGCAGGATTACGCTAGATAGAGCACACCAATACATCCCAAGCCTGGTCGGTGATATAATGATAATAGCAGGATAAACCAAAGGTTAATGGAAAAGGAAGAATAGGAACCCAAATGAGATGCGGTAAAACGAGAAATGAAAAGGGAAGGAAATAAGAAAAGGCCAAGTGGTGTAACGGGGTCGTACTCTCACACCCAGCTTCGTGTGTTTCATCCCCCCATCTACTCTACCCTCTACCTACTAGCTACCCGTCTCCCTGACCGCCTTGCCACCGCCCGCGATCACTTTCTTAGTCTCCACCCCACTGACCTTACCCTCACTGACTTTGTTGACACCCTGTCTGCCGTAGAGACTCGTCAACGCTCTATCGTCCAGTCTAGCGGTACCGTGCCGGTCTGTATCTTTCAGGGCTGTGCCCCTGCTCAGTGCACTTACTCTGATGATTATGCTACAGTCGCTGAGACAGCTCCTGCTGCGGAGACAGCCGCTGCCGTGCAGTTTCGTCCGGGTAAGGGTCGCCGCCCCAAGGCTGGGCACAGTGGAGGTAGCGGAGGAGGGGGTGGTGCCGGTGGTGGAGGTGGTTTGCCCGTTGGTAGTGCTGACGAGGGGGTTGGAGCTCGTGCCTCGGAGCAGTAGTCCCAGCAGCAGCAGCAGCAGCAGCAGCAGCAGCAGCAGCAGCAGCAGGCGCCGTTGCTAGACCAGCAGCAGCAGCAGCCGCAGCACCCACAGCAGCAGCAGCAGCAGCAGCAGCCGCCGCAGCAGCAGCAGCAACGATGGGTCGGCCGTCTTCCCCTGACTGGCCTTGTGGCCTGTGGCTGGCCTTGTGGCCTCTTCCCAGTGGCTGGACTAGTAGTGCCGCCCTGGTCTTGCTCTTGCCTTGTCTGTACTCATTTGACTGGTCTTTAGAGCCTTGCCTTTTAGGCTTGACTAATAGTGCCACCCTAAGCAGTTTTTCTCTCACCCGGCACTGCCCCTATCCAGTCGAGGGGGTGTGTCAAACATATCTTTGTATGTTGTTATAAACTATACAGGGTTGTTCATTAGGGAGTACAACCCATTAGGTTGTTGGGCTGAGAAAAGCCCTTAGGATCTTTCCAGAGACTAAGTCCCGGTTGTAGAATGAGACTTGAGTAGTGCAGCGGAAGTTGAGGCAGTTGAACCCTTGTACTAGTATATGAGAACAAGTGATTGATTAAAGAAACAAACATACAGCAATATATAGAAAATAGGAAAGCAGTTTGTAGAATACAGTTGCAGGAGCGGTTTATCGAGTCGCACAGCGACTCGATTGTCGCTTCGGTTACCATCCGCGATGTTGTAACGGTCAGTCGCAACCTCCAGTTGCGACCCTTCGAGTCCTTTCGCGTTCTTTGTCCATCCCCTCGTGCAACCTCCGTTGACTCGTGTACCCGTTACGATCTTCCTCGAGTGTAGTGTTACGCTTCAGAAACGCTTAAGTCCTTTGAGATATTTCCAACACTCCCCTTCGTTTCTGGAGTGCTGACGTGTTCAGATCCGGTGACGTTTGTCTGCCCGGTCAGCAGCATGCAGTAATCGAACTTCGCCTTTGCCAGTTTCTTCGTCAGGTAGTCTGCGGCCATTTCTGTTGTAGGGCAGTAACTGAGTTGAAGTCTCCCCTTCGCGATTTCATCTTTGACGAAAAAGTACCGCAGGGCAATGTGTTTGGTTCGGTTGGCGAAGCCGTCCTTGTTCGCGATTTTGATCGTAGATTGGTTGTCGCAGAGGAGTGAGAAGACGGGCAGGGTCGCGATCTTCGCTTCTTCGAGCAACTCTCGTAGGTAGAGTCCTTCCTTGGTCGCAGTACAGAGGGCGATATATTCTGCTTCAGCCGAAGATAGTGCGATTAGTTCCTGCTTGCTCGACTGCCAGGAGATAGTCCCGATAGGTTCTAGTCGGTAAATGTAGCCCGTTCTCGATCTTCGGTTTTCCCTGTCTCCCGCGTGGTCGGCGTCGACGTATCCGAGTAGTTGTACGGACGATGTCGTTTCTTTACTGTAGGTAAGTCCGGTCGTCGGCGTGGAGATGAAGTAGAGTAGTGCCCGATTAAGTTTCTCGAGATCTTCTTGTTCCGGTTGCTTCAGATGCGTCGCCAGTTGGCTCGCGCTATAAGATAGGTCGGGTCGGCAGGTTATTGCTGCGAATAGTAGGCAGCCGAGCTTCTGCTGATACTCCTGGATTTGCTTCGCGGGGAGTTTCGCGGAGGTGTTGCTGTTGTTCCCGTAGCGGTGGGGAGTCGTGACTGTAGTCGGCGTTAGCCCGAATTTCTTCACGACAACGCCTGCGTATTTTCCAGCGTGTAGGTAAAATGCCGAGTTGTCTTCGACGACATTCAGTCCCAGGTACTGGGTCACTGTGTCTGACACTGTGAGTGTCAGGTCACTTCTCAGCTCTCCTTCGAACCAGATGGCGATGTCGGTAGAGGAGCCGATGTAGAGCAGGTCGTCGACGTAGACGATGAGAAGGATAAAGGCTTTTTCCTTCTGAAGTCGATACATGCCTTGGTCGTGCGGCAGCAGTAGGAAGCCGATTCTGACGAGGCGGCCGTGAAGATGCTGCTGCCACAGCTGCGAAGCTTGTTTGATCCCGTAGAGGGATTTTATCAGCTGGCATACTTTCGTAGGGTCGTCGATGAATCCGTGGGGCTGCTCGACGAAGATCTCGGCGTCCACAGGTGCGTACAGGAAAGCGTTTGCGACGTCGATTTGACGCAGTGGTAGTTTCTTCGTGGCCGCGACGGCGAGTAGGATGCGCAGGGAGGTGTGACGGGAGACTGGGGCAAAAGTTTCAGTGTAGTCGGTTCCGTATCGTTGATCGAAGCCTCGTACGACCCATCGAGCTTTGAATCGTTCGATGGAGCCGTCCGCGTTGGTCTTGATGCGGTACACCCATTTTCCCGAGAGGACGTTCTTCCCATTGATGCTTGTTGCAGGTACCAGCTTCCATGTATTTCGGTCTTGCAGAGCCTTTAGTTCCCTTTCCATCGCCTCCTTCCATTTCGTCTTATGTTCCCCCCCCAGAGCCTGCGACAGAGTCGAGGGCTCGCGCGGAGATGGCGGCGGTGGATGCTGGACGGAGACCCAGAGGCCGAGGATCTGCAGTCCCGTGGGTGTGTGTCAAGGGGAATTTTCATTCCCGGAATAGGCTGCTTCGTCACCGTCTTCTGGATCAGGTAAGAAGTTGGGGCCGATGCGTTCTGAAACATTTGTGTCGACCGGGTGGGGTGTAGTGTAACCTTGGTCAGCGAAGTGGTAAAAGGTGTCGAGGTTGTTACTATCGAGAGGATTGTCTTCGTCGAGTGGAACAGGTACGGAACAGAAAGGGAGTGGTCCGGTAGCTTCTGAGGCTCCAGGTACGTCTTCTTCTGCTGCGTCAGCCTCGGCAGCACGGTCGGCGAAGGAACGAAGGCCCGCGAAGCCGTCGGTGGGGTCGTGTGTGTTGGCAATGTTGTCCAGGTAATGCTGCAGCGTCAGTCGCTCGTAGAAGATAACATCACGTGATGCCACTGTATTTTTGTCTTGTATGTCGAGGATTTTCCATGCGTGAAAATGTTTTGCGATGCCGAGGTGTAGTCCCCACCGAGCTCGTTGAGTGAAGCGTCCTGCTCGGGCTGTGTGAGGTCTGTACTGTACCATGCAGCCGAAAACCTGAAGTAATTTTGTGCTGCCCCTTTTTTGTGTCCACAGCAGGTACGGTGATGCGTTGTTGGGAAGCGATGACGAGGACAGCAGGTTGTGCAGGTGGACTGCATGTGTCATTGCGTCTGGCCACAGTGTGGTGGGCAGTCTCATCCCAAGGAGCAACTTTCGCATCGTTGTCTGCAAGGTCCGGTTCATGCGTTCTGCGACCCCCTGCTGCTGGTGAGCGTAGGGCAGAGACACCAGGCGTCTGATTCCTCTTTCCGCCAGATAGGTCCTGAAGCGTTGTGACTGGTATTCCAGTGCACCGTCTGACTGGAAGCTCTTGAGCTTGGTTCCTGATTCTCGTTCGGCGATGGGTAGCCATGTCGTGAAGGCGTCGAAGGCTTGATCGCGTGTCTTGAGGTTGTAGTGCCAGACGTATCTTGTTGCTGCGTCGATGAACGTGATGACATAGTTGAAGTCGGCTTCAGTGTCTTCTCGAGGCATGTTCAAAATGTCGCTGTAGACTTTTTCCATCGGTGCGTATGCAGGTGCGCTTGGGTTGTGATGAGATGGGAAAGGTTGGTGAGGAAGATCGGCTTCGGGGCACGTAAAGCACCGTGCGCGTGGTCGTCGAAGTTCTTGGCCGCTCGTTGTTAGGAGAGCGTTGCGTTCTAACACTTCGGCTTGGATGGTTTGCAGTATTGTACTGTTTGCAGGGTGCCCAAGTCGTTGGTGCCAGATGTCGTCAGGAGCGCGATGGCCGGGCGAACGGTGGTATATGTCGGTGTTGGAGAAGAACGCGACGACTGTGGCGGGACTTCGACAGACTTCTCGTGTGATGGGCATAAGTTGATCTGCTTCGGTTGGTGGTCCTCGGATCGCTGGTGGTGGTACTCTTTGTTCTGCTGCGGCTACTGCAGGTGATGGTTGGGAAGGGACACTTGCTGGTACTTGTCTTTCTTGTCTGATGACTGCTAATGCTCGTGTTCTCTCTGCTGCAGGTATGGTGTTGGAGTGCCAGAATCCATCCGGGTCAAAGTCTGGGTCAAGATCCGGCGGGTGTGTCCAGGCGGCGAACGACACGATTCCGTCGCTGTCGGCAGTACCGCGGTCGGGGACGAAGTCTAACACGAAGACGCCGGACTTCATGAGAGCACGACCGATGAAGAGACCGCCCTTCCCGTGGTAAAGGCGAAACTCGTTGGAGTAGGAGTCGCACTCCAGGTGAATCCCTTTTGCCATTAGCTGGCTTACGCTTAGTAAGTTGTATCCCAAGTTGTCGACGATGAGGACCTTGTTGAGTTGAAGTATAACGTTTGTCTCCATGGATTGTAATTGAACCACTCCTTGTCTGTTTGTTTTCAGGTTCTCGTTGTTGGCGACGGTGATGATCACGTCGCGGTTGAGGCGTCGCTCTCGTTGCACGAAGCGTCCGGAAGAACACATGTGTTGACCGCAGCAGCTGTCCAAGAACCAGGTGTTTCGCCCGGTGGGTTCGGCGTTGGCGACCGCAGCGTATGTCAGGTTGACTTGAAATCCTTGTGAGCGCGGCGGCGGAAGTTCTTCTTCGTCTGGTGCGTAAGTGGGTGGTGATCCGGGTGCGCAGTTGTCGATGTGTACCATGCAGTTAATGATGTTCGGTGTCCCTTGTGCAGATGTGGAAGAGCGCCTTGGAGGGCTTTCTTGAATGGAGGCGACGTGTGGGTCTACTGGACGATAAACACGAGGACGTGTGCAGTTGACTTTGGAATGTCCAGAAGTCTGACAGTTGTGGCAGAACGGCGGCACAAAGGTGAGTCCTCTGTTGTCGCGTTGATCTTGCTTGCCGCGTCGATTGTAGTTGTTGTCGTTCCTTCGTTGAGTGTAGAAAACTAACTGCTGCTGCTTCCTTGGTTGTCGTTCTTCGAACAGGTCCATCTCCTGTTGTTCAGCGTGAAGCTCGGCGCAGAGGTGCATCTCTGAGATTCTTCCGTGGGCGCGAAGAAGCGAGCGTGTGGTTCTCCATTCTGGTCCGAGCCCGGCGAGGATAAGCGTCACGAAGCTTTCCTCAGTGATTGTTCCTCCGCACCGAAGCAGGCGGTCGCGGAGGTTCTGGCAGCGACTCATATACTGCATCGCCTTTTTCCCTGTCTTCATCTGTATTGTTGTCAGTTGTTGCATGAGTCTGCTTTGTGTCACGCTGTCGTTTGCTTGATAGAGACTTGAGATGATGCCATGCGAGTTCCGCGGAGTTTCCATAGCTCCGATATGTTCTGATGCTCTGCTGTTCTTGTGGTGACAGGTTCAACAGGAGAACTGTGTACGCCAGCAGCGACTGATAAGTAAATATTTCTTGCTCCTTTGCAGTGCCGTTGCTTGGGAATGGCAGGGACCCATTGAAGTATCCCAGGAGATGCGCAGCCTCCATCAGCAGCTCGAACTCAAAACTCCAGGTAAAGAAATCGTGTCCGTTGAATGGTGATGATGTCTGCAGTTTAATCACGTGTGAAAACTGCGCCTGTAGACTTAAAATCTCGTTTGGTGTTTGTTGTGATGCAGCTGCTGTTGGTTGGGCACGGGGCGGCATGAACTCGAACGTCCCCGGTGAAGAGTGATAAGGCGCAAAGGTAGGCGCTTGATTGTGTCGCCCGAACGATGAATTGTCGAGGCTCATCGGCGCTAATCCCATGTTTCCTCCGTTGCTCTGTGTTGAATGCGCAGGTGTCCTTGTCTGCTGCTGCTGGTCGAAGTGCGACATGAAGCTGAAGAATCTTTCCATAAGGTTCGGATCCACGCTTGAAGAGGGTGATGGGGTCACCATTTCCGGTGCTCTTCCTGTTGTTTCTTGAGCAGCGCCGGTCTCGGTTTGCAGCCCTGAAGTATGCAATCCAGAGTTGCCAGGTTGAATGTCTTGGTTGCTGGGTGAGCCCGTAGAGGTCTTCTTGCCCTTGCTGTCCATGGCTTGTAATTAATGAAGTCGTTGAATTGCAGATTGTAGATAGAGTGTCGTTGCTGGGAGTTTGGTCTCTGACCAGCTCTCATACCATGTTGGGCTGAGAAAAGCCCTTAGGATCTTTCCAGAGACTAAGTCCCGGTTGTAGAATGAGACTTGAGTAGTGCAGCGGAAGTTGAGGCAGTTGAACCCTTGTACTAGTATATGAGAACAAGTGATTGATTAAAGAAACAAACATACAGCAATATATAGAAAATAGGAAAGCAGTTTGTAGAATACAGTTGCAGGAGCGGTTTATCGAGTCGCACAGCGTCTCGATTGTCGCTTCGGTTACCATCCGCGATGTTGTAACGGTCAGTCGCAACCTCCAGTTGCGACCCTTCGAGTCCTTTCGCGTTCTTTGTCCATCCCCTCGTGCAACCTCCGTTGACTCGTGTACCCGTTACGATCTTCCTCGAGTGTAGTGTTACGCTTCAGAAACGCTTAAGTCCTTTGAGATATTTCCAACATAGGTTATATTCCCTTGTATGTCCTTGTTCTAGTCATTCATTTACTCTAATAATTATCAGAGTCGGAATGTTTCCGATGCCCGCGGCCTCGCTTAGGAGGGGGGGGGGGGGTAGTGTAAGGAATTTCCATTCCTTACTGAGTCGTACGCTAGCGCGTACACCCGAACTCCTCGACTCGTCACGTTCGGCCTCAATTGTTGGCCCAACCCTTTCCCGAGTCGCGTCCGGCACTGTCGCCACATTGCCGAACCTACCCACGTTCCGAGGTTATCGCCATAGCACGCCAACCCGTATATAACATCGTGCATTCATTGCAATAGCGACCTTGTATTCTCACGTTTAGTTCATTGACACTTCCTATATCATAAATGAACTTTGAGAAATGAATAGGCACTAGTTGGTTTGCTTGCTCAATTTCGAACTGTAATCGCATGATCGGTACACTGTCGCGCGTTTTGCACCAGCAGCATTCGCGCCTTGTCAGACCCAGCACCACCCTGCACTAGCAGGTCAGTCCCCTGCTCTTGCTGGTTTGATCTGCGGGCGTGTTCTTACAGCCCCTCTTTAGGTTCGCGCGTCACTGTGCAATGCGAGTTTGACGCGAATGGTTCCATGTGGTGTAGAGCGTTTCGACGCGTGGCACTCTCGTCAATCGGGCAAAATTTTGGAGCCTGATAAGGGGGAGTCTGAAAGAGGCCTGTAGGAATATGATCTGAGACCCGGAGTGTCTGGGTGTGGCACTCTAACAAATCCGTCATCGTCAGCTGTGGAGTTTGGCGGATCCGTCCGTTTCACGTCGGAAGATACTGCGTGTACCGGATCCAGAATCTCGCAGAAACTGGGCCACGTGTACGTCCGCTGACGTCCGTCCGTTACAATGCAAGTACCGGGCTGCAAAGCTAGAACCGTGTACGTTACAAGTACCGAGATGAAACGCTTGTCATGCTGTCCGGGTTACAACGCTACTAGCATCCGGTTACAATGCGAGTACCGGGCTACAATGGTCGCGCCGGATGCCTCAGCATTAATTTGATTGGTTGAGATGATTAGTGCCAGTACGAGTAGTAGACGGCGCCGCTAAAATGCCCGTACATACTATACTACATACTTATCGTATGGCTACTAGTAGTACAAAGCAGGCTCCGTACTAGCCACTGCACATATACAGTACTCCGCACTGGCGCCTCAGCAGGACCGTACCTACGTAGCATTTCCACGTACCATTCCTAGTGTCGATCTCGTGCGACACCAACTTGAGAATTTTCCCCACTATCGTCGGTGTCGAGAGGCAGGGTCGCCGAGATCGTAGTGGCCGGGAGTGGCGGGGGTCAACTGAAGGTCGACACGCGAAATCACCGCAGTCGGCGGGGTGTCACGGCGGCGGTGCTCGTAGCGGATCTCTGAGTCTGCTCGAGTCTTCCTGAGTCTGCCTGAGTCTGCTTGAGTCTGCCTGAGTCTGCCTGGGTCTGCCGGCGGCACACTCAGAAGCGGCCGGGCATGAGTCAGCCTGAAAAGCGGCCTCAGCTGGAGCTCGAGGGGCCGCGTGACATGAGTCTGCTTTTGAGACGTCGCGGAGTTCAGGCGGCGGTGCTCCTAGCAGCGGCGTTGCTGCTTGTCGCGGTCGGTCCAGCTGGCAGCGTAACAGGCGAGGGTTTTGAGCTGCCGGATCCGCCGTCTAGGTTCGATGCATCTGTGGCGTGGCACCACATGCAGTATCGCACGGCCGACTCGTGCTGGAGCCAGCAGGAAAAGCATCTCTACCACACGGTATGTGGGGGGGTGGCATCTGTAGCACACGGTATGTGGGGGGGTGGAATCTGTAGCACACGGTATATGGGGGGGTGGCATCTGTAGCACACGGTATGTGTGGGGGAGGCATCTGTAGCACACCGTATGTGAGGGGGAGGCATCTGCCGCACATGGTATGTGAGGGGCAGGCATCTGTAGCACACGGTATGTGAGGGGCAGGCATCTGTAGCACACGGTATGTTATGTGAGAGATAGATGTACGACACGTTATGATGTGGAATCTGAGGGTGAGAAGTACGGCATCTGTAGCACACGGCATGGTGTCATACCTGTAGCACACGGCATGGTGTCATACCTGTAGCACAGGGTGCGTTGCAAGGATAGGCATCTGTTGCACACGGTATGGCGTGCGATCTGTAGCACACGGTATGGCGTGAGATCTGTAGCACACGGTATGGCGTGAGATCTGTAGCACACGGTATGGCGTGAGATCTGTCGCCCACCCACGGCATCACCTGTGTTCTCTCAACGCCCACAGGCCGACAACTGCCCTCATTCCGAAGCATTCTCCACCGCGGTGGGGGCCTTTGAGCGGATGCAGAGAGAGTGCGTGCAGCAGGGCGGCCCAAAGCAATGGGCGTGGGTCGGCGACAAATCCAAGTGGTATGGGACTGCTGTTGTTTCACTCAGGCAGGAGCGCATGGCAGCAACTGCTTTTGCTTAGGCGCACCTGTTGAAACGCATTGGTTGTTCATTGCACAATAGCTCATCCCCCGGCCTAAATCCCTGTTTGCGTGCTCTGATAAACGCATCCTGCTGTCTGATAAACGCATCCTGCTGTCTGATAAACGCATCCTGTTGTCTGATAAACGCATCCTGTTGTCTGATAAACGCATCCTGTTGTCTGATAAACGCATCCTGTTGTCTGATAAACGCATCCTGTTGTCTGATAAACGCATCCTGCTGTCTGATAAACGCATCCTGCTGTCTGATAAACGCATCCTGCTGTCTGATAAACGCATCCTGCTGTCTGATAAACGCATCCTGCTGTCTGATAAACGCATCCTGCTGTCTGATAAACGCATCCTGTTGTCTGATAAACGCATCCTGTTGTCTGATAAACGCATCCTGTTGTCTGATAAACGCATCCTGTTGTCTGATAAACGCATCCTGTTGTCTGATAAACGCATCCTGTTGTCTGATAAACGCATCCTGTTGTCTGATAAACGCATCCTGTTGTCTGATAAACGCATCCTGTTGTCTGATAAACGCATCCTGTTGTCTGATAAACGCATCCTGTTGTCTGATAAACGCATCCTGTTGTCTGATAAACGCATCCTGTTGTCTGATAAACGCATCCTGTTGTCTGATAAACGCATCCTGTTGTCTGATAAACGCATCCTGTTGTCTGATAAACGCATCCTGTTGTCTGATAAACGCATCCTGTTGTCTGATAAACGCATCCTGTTGTCTGATAAACGCATCCTGTTGTCTGATAAACGCATCCTGTTGTCTGATAAACGCATCCTGTTGTCTGATAAACGCATCCTGTTGTCTGATAAACGCATCCTGTTGTCTGATAAACGCATCCTGTTGTCTGATAAACGCATCCTGTTGTCTGATAAACGCATCCTGTTGTCTGATAAACGCATCCTGTTGTCGGTATGCGCCCCAGGAGCAAGCAGCTACCTCGCCATGGGCCCGACAGGGAGCTCTGCCGCTACATTGTGGTGGAAGACATGAGGAGAGGTGAGCGGCTGGTGAGGAGGTGAGAGCGAGGATGGGTGCCTCGTCATCCATTCCTGCCTCATCATCCATTCCTGCCTCGTCATCCATTCCTGCCTCGTCATCCATTCCTGCCTCATCATCCATTCCTGCCTCATCATCCATTCCTGCCTCGTCATCCATTCCTGCCTCATCATCCATTCCTGCCTCATCATCCATTCCTGCCTCATCATCCATTCCTGCCTCATCATCCATTCCTGCCTCATCATCCATTCCTGCCTCGTCATCCATTCCTGCCTCGTCATCCATTCCTGCCTCGTCATCCATTCCTGCCTCGTCATGCGACGCAGCTGCATTGTGTGATGCTAAACGATTTTTGAGGCGCCTAAAAAATCGTGCGATGGCGCTACGTTGTGACACCTGACATGAAACGAGGCGACCTCGCTGTAATGATGTCTCGTTTGGTAACAACGTGAGCCCACTGCAAGCTAGTATGCTATAGTAATATGAACCTTTTTTCTGCAACGAGGTCAGCTGTTCTTGACGAAACGCACCCTTGTCAGCAAGTTGTTTGTTCCTTCTTCGAATAAGGCAAGCCTTTTACAATCAAGGTAAGCCCTGTATAAGTTGGAATTGCAATTGTGTGCCAAAGCGTTGTCTCGGCCATTTTGCAAGAGTTGGCAATAAGATAACAGGGTAAGTGGTCTTCTTTGTACTTGCCCCTCTCACCAACCGGGCTATCATCTCACCGCCCCATGCCTTCCCCCCACAACCACCACCGCCCCATGCCTTCCCCCTCACGACCGCCGTGTACCACTGACGTGCTCTGCAGGAGTTGGCAACAAGATAACGGCATATGTGGTGTCCTTCGTGCTCGCCCTTCTCACCAACCGGGCCATTATTGTGCCGCCCCGTGCCTTCCTCACTCGCCGCCTCTGCAACCCCTTCGCCCATTCCAACACATCGTGGACCGTTGGCCCACCCACCTACGAGTAAGTCAGCCTCTCCATCTCCAGGGTGGCTTGATTCAACCTCTTTTCTATTCTCCTTCTCACTTGTCACCTCGCATTTGCGACCCCCTCGCCGGTGCCAACACCTCCTGAGATGTTCGCCCACCCACCTACGAGTTAGTCGGGCTTTACTGGCGGCCTCAGGGTGGCTTAAATTGGCTCCTTTTGAATCTGCTCAAGAGCCACCTTGCTTCTGCAACCCCTTTGGACGTGTCAACACGTCCTGGATCAGGGCCTCACTCACCCACAAGTATGGCAGCTGTGAGTCTTTGGTCCAGGAGATGTTGGCACGGCCGAAGGAGTTGCAGAAGCAAGGTTGACACCTCAACCTGATGTTGCCGAACTTCCACGATGTTGCCGATCGACTTCCTGTGTGGATCGACTTCCTGTGTGATCGACTTCCTGTGTGGATCGACTTCCTGTGTGGATCGACTTCCTGTGTGGTTCGACTTCCTGTGTGGAGCGGCTTCTAAGCGATGAGCCATGAGCCATGACTGCCTTGCTGCTCTCCTTGCTCCCAGTGCAGCCTCATCCTGGGCAAAGCGACGAGCCTTTTTTTACATTTCGTTTTTAGAGTCATTTCTTAGAATTCTCTCAAGGGACGAGCCATGACTGCCTTGCTGCTCTCCTTTCCCCCACTGCAGCTTGATCCTGGGGAGAGTGTGCTTCAATTGCCACAGCTGCCGCTCACCAGCATGGATGGCAGAGCAGCTGAGAGCGATGCAGGGAGCGGCACTTTAACCAATGACTCAGTATTGCCTTGCTGCAGTTTTGAGATGTCTCAAAACGACACTTTAACCAAAGACTCACTCTCTATTGCCTTGCTGCTCTCTTTACCCATGGTGCATTGCATGGCAGCCTGATCCTGGGGTCTGTGTTTCAAAGGCCGCGGCTGCTGCTCACCAGCATGGCAGAGCAGCTGAGAGCCACACAGGGAGCGGCACGGACGGACCTGCCATGGCAAGTGATCAACAAAGGCGCGGTGTGGATGGACTTGTACCGCAGGTGAGTGGTGCAGGGAGGGGTAGTGCACTGTGCACGTGAGTATTCTGTTTGAATCAACTCAAGTCGTGCCGTGGCAGGTGATCAGCAAGGGCGCGGTGTGGATGGACTTGTACCGCAGGTTGCTGTGCAGGTTGCAGTGCAGGTTGCAGGGCAGGTTGCAGTGCAGGTTGCAGTGCAGGTTGCTGTGCAGGTTGCTGTCCAGGTTGCGGTGCAGGTTGCGGTACAGGTTGCGGTACAGGTTGCTGTGCAGGTTGCGGTGCAGGTTGCAGTGCAGGTTGCTGTGCAGGTTGCTGTGCAGGTTGCTGTGCAGGTTGCTGTGCAGGTTGCAGTGCAGGTTGCTGTGCAGGTTGCAGTGCAGGTTGCTGTGCAGGTTGCTGTGCAGGTTTCTGTGCAGGTTGCTGTGCAGGTTGCAGTGCAGGTTGCAGTGCAGGTTGCAGTGCAGGTTCCAGGGCAGGTTGCAGTGCAGGTTGCAGTGCAGGTTGCTGTGCAGGTTGCAGTGCAGGTTGCTGTGCAGGTTGCTGTGCAGGTTGCTATGCAGGTTGCTGTGCAGGTTGCTGTGCAGGTTGCAGTGCAGGTTGCAGTGCAGGTTGCTGTGCAGGTTGCAGTGCAGGTTGCTGTGCAGGTTGCTGTGCAGGTTTCTGTGCAGGTTGCTGTGCAGGTTGCAGTGCAGGTTGCAGTGCAGGTTGCAGTGCAGGTTCCAGGGCAGGTTGCAGTGCAGGTTGCAGTGCAGGTTGCAGTGCAGGTTGCTGTGCAGGTTGCTGTGCAGGTTGCTGTGCAGGTTGCAGTGCAGGTTGCTGTGCAGGTTGCGGTGCAGGTTGCAGTGCAGATTGCAGTGCAGGTTGCAGTGCAGGTTGCGGTGCAAAGATAACACCCCTGCGATATGGGCTCTGACTTCCCCTCTCCCACACTTGCCCACCAGCCAGGAGCTGGAGCTGGTTGTGCGATCACTAGTGACCGGCTGCTGATGGAATGCTGGTTGCTTGCCATGCAACAAAACCATTACTCTCCTCGTCTGTGCCCGCCTGCCAGGAGCTGGAGCAAGTTCTGCGACGACCTGTGGTCCACTGCTGACGCGGCGCCCTTCTGGCTCGCAAGCATCGATGCGTACATCGTCCCCAGCCTGCACTATATCCCACACTTCGCTGTAAGGGTGCTCATTGTAAGCACTGCATTGCAACATGCACAGTTCGCTGTGAGCACTACATCGCACACTTTGCTGTAAGAGCTCATGCCATTGAGCACGCGCGCGCACGCGCGCGCGCATGCGCTTATTGATGGCTGGTTTTGAGTTTACTCAAAAGCAGTTCGCTGTGAGCACTACATCGCACACTTTGCTGAAAGAGCGGATGTCATTGTGAGAGTGTGTATGTGTGTGAGTGTTGGCTGGTGCCCGTTGAGCTCGCTGTGAGCCCTGCATGCCGCACTTTGCTGGGTGCACACATTCCAGTGTCACCCCAGCCTGCATTGCATCTAACGGATTTTTCTCTGTAAGCCCTGTATGCCTGCTCTCTCTCTCTCACCTCTCTCTCTTCTGCAACCAGGATCGTCTCAAGGAGCTTTTCCCCGAAGGCAGTGTGTTCACCCACGCGGCTCGCTTCCTCTTGCACCCGGGCAACGAGCTGTGGGCGCAGACACCACCGCCTTCCCGCCCCCATTCTCCACTCCCTCATTCTCCACCCCCTCATTCTCCTCTCCCTCATTCTCCACCCCCTCATTCTCCACTCCCTCATTCTCCTCTCCCTCATTCTCCACCCCCTCTCTCCTCCCATATCTCGTGCCTACAGGACCGACTCAAAGAGCTTTTCCCCGATGGCCGTGTATTCACCCATGCAGCTCGTTTCCTCATCCACCCGGACAACGAGCTGTGGGCGCAGATCACCACCACCTTCCATGCCAACCTCGCCCACTTCTCACACCGCCTCGGTCTACAGGTGCGCATTTGAGGCGCTCTGGCTTACAGGTGGGGATTTGAGGCGCCCTTCGAACACAAGTTCCTGGTGCCCCTTCCACGCCCACCTCGCTCACTTCTCACACCGCCTTGGCTTGCAGGTGGGGATTTGAGGCGCTGTGGCTTACAGGTAAGTTTTGAGGTGCCTGTAAAAACAATCTGCCCCCCTACCTTGGCATCGCCTCCAAGTCAGCATCTTCTCATCAAGGCTGTATCGCGTTACCTTCTTACCCTAAAACCTAAACCCTAAACCCTTTTTCCTCGGTTTCTGGGCGACTAGGTATTCCTCGTGGCACATTCAATCACTCTGACCTTTGATCTTCTCCCTTGGTGGGCGTCCTTGCCATGCCATCCCTGGTGGCAGATTCGCTCGCCAGATGGCATCCAGCTGCCGCTCTCTGGTAGAATTCTGCAGTGTGGCGCAGCCATTGCACACTATCTGCCGTATACAAGGCCGTACACACAGGTGAGCCGTGCTTTTGCGTCGACTCAAATGGGCTCCCTGGTGGGAACGGCCGTGGAGTACTGGTATTATTCCCTGGTAGAATTCTCCAATGTGGGCTGCGGTTGTGCCCATCTGCTGCATATGGTCTAGGCTCACCTGTTGTGCACTATCTTCCATATTCTAGATTGTAAGCACAGGTGAGCTGTGCGAGCTATTGTGGACCCCCTTTGTGCATGCTGTCTTTGGATATCATGCTATCTTTGGATATCATGTTATCTTTTTGGATATCATGTTATCTTTGGATATGATGTTATCTTTGGATATCATGTTATCTTTGGATGGCGTTATCTTGGGAAACGTTCTCCTCCTTCTTTCATGCCTTCAGGGATGCAGCTCCATACCGATGGGCTCCATACCGATGGGCTCCATACCGATGGGCTCCATATCGATGGGCTCCATACCGATGGGCTCCATACCGATGGGCTCCATACCGATGGGCTCCATACCGATGGGCTCCATACCGATGGGCTCCATACCGATGGGCTCCATACCGATGGGCTCCATACCGATGGGCTCCATACCGATGGGCTCCATACCGATGGGCTCCATACCGATGGGCTCCATACCGATGGGCTCCATACCGATGGGCTCCATACCGATGGGCTCCATACCGATGGGCTCCATACCAATACCAATGGGCTCCATACCTATAGGCTCCATACCGATGGGCTTCCCCCGAGTTGCAGGGTTCTGTTTTCTGAGGATCTCCAAAGTGTTTTGTGACATTGTAATGAGGTGACTTTTGAGTCGACTCAAAAGTTCCCCCGAGTTGCAGGGTTCTGTTTTCTGAGGATCTCCAGGTCATCCATGTGCCTTCATCGATACCACGCGATATAAGGTTTGTTTTGAGACGTCTCAACACAAACCTTATATCACAGGATTTCCAGGTCATCCATATGCCTTCATCCATACTCTTCAGTTCCATACCTCGAGGTGACCTTTTGAGTCAACTCAAAAGTCAGGGTTCTGTTTTCTGAGGATCTCCAAATCATCCATGCCTTCATCGATACCATTCAGTTCCATATCTCGACCTCCCCTGCATTTCCAAGACCCCTCGTGAGTTTTGAGTCGACTCAAAACTCACCTGCAGTTAAGACCCCTGTCCTCGCCCTCTTTTGGACTGCATCCATCCAGGCTCTTCAGGGTCCGACAATGCCGCAAGCTCACCTCTTGCACATCCCCCCCCTCTGGCTTTGCATCCATCCAGGCTCTTTTGGAGCCTAGCCTGTGCCTGGTCCCACAGGGGTCGTGAGCCATCACGTCACATGACATGACATGACATGACATGACACCACACCACACCACACCACACCACACCACACCACACCACACCACACCACACCACACCACATCACATCACATGGCATGGCATGGCATGACATGACATGACATCGCATGACATCGCATCACATCACATCACATGACATTCGAGTCGACTCCCATTGTTTTGGCTTCGCATCCGTGCAGGCTCTCTTAAAGCCTGGTGGTGGAACGTTCCCACATGCCTCACATGCGCCGCACAGGACCATGGGGGTGTTCGTGTCATCATTGAGCATGAAGCACACGCTGGAGCTGCAAGCGCAGTACTCGCAGAACATGCCCGTCGGCAACACACTTGTCGGCTTCTGGTCGTAAGTCCCCCCCCCCCTTCCTCCCCCTCCTAAAGATGAAGCACATGTTGGAGCTGCAAGCGCACTACTCGCGGAACATGCCCCTGGGAAACACCCTCAGTGGCTTCTGGTCGTAAGTAACCCAACCGTCTACCTCCCCGTCCCCCCTTTTTGAGCGACCCATCACTTGTGTTCGTGTGGTCGTTGAGCATGAAGCATGTGTTGGAGCTGCAAGCGCACTACTCACAGAACGTGCCCGTTGGTTAACGGTGTCCGTGTCGTTGTTGAGCATGGAGCACGTGCCGCAGCTGCCAGCGCATTACTCGCAGAGCATGCCCATCGCCAATGAACTCGTCACCTTATGATTGCCCTCGCGCTGTGTAGTGTTGCTTTCTGCTCGTGAGCCACGACCAGAAGGTCAGCATCTTACCTTCCCTCCAGTTGCCATGGAGGGTTGTTTTTTGGGAAAATTCAAAAGCGGTTCACCACACGTGAAGTACGATGCGCTAGTTGCCTTCTCCGAGCGAGTGGCCTCGCCTGGACGCGCTTTAGTCCCCCCTGTCCGCTTCTATCCAGGTCCTCTTTCTGCTACCCTCTGGCATTTGACGTGCCTCAAAAATAGATTACGCTACCCACTAGCATTTGAGGTGCCTAAAAAATTAGATAGCGCTATCTACTAGCATTTGAGGTGCCTAAAAAATAGATTGCTCTACCCACTAGCATTTGAGGTGCCTAAAAAATAGATTGCACTACCCACTAGCATTTGAGGTGCCTAAAAAATAGATTGCACTACCCACTAGCATTTGGTGCACCGATCGTTTAGGTGCCTCAAGAATTGATGCATGCTGCTCTATCCCCTCGCCCCCTCGTTTCCTCTCTCCCTCACTCGCTCACTCCCTTGTCCCTTGTCCCATGTCTCCTCCTGATTTTGAGGCGCCTCAAAACTAGACGCGCTCACTCCCTTGTCGCATGTCTCCTCCTGAAACTGCCCGTGCGCATTCCATCCGTGGTAGGCTCACGAGCGAGGAGATAGAGAACAGGAAGGAGCAGCATCTGGTGGCGACTGTCATCGACATCTGGCTCCTCAGCTTCTGGTGAGCTGTGCCTCTGAGTCAGATTGAGCTTCTGGTTCAAATTATGCGTCTCCAAGTTGTGCTTTTCAGTCGAATTGTGCTTTTGGATTGGGGCGTGGAACATTTTGATGAACATGCGTTTTCTTTCGAGCCTGTGTTCGCCGTCTGCTTTCGCAATACTTCGCAAAGGGTGAAAGCCAAGACAAACCCCGAGACGAACATGCTGGTGTCCCCTGCTAGACTAGCGTGGAACATTTTTTGGGTTTGGAAATTCGAGTCGTCGTGACACTTTTGCGAGTGTCGGTAAACTTGTTACTGTCGAAAAAAAAACCTGGTGTTTGTTTCATGTTCTTAAAAAAAGGTTCCACGCCCTTAGATTGTGGTTTTTAGTCGAATTGTATTTCCACGTCAAGCACCCAGCTTTGTAAAACCCCACTCCCCACTCCCCCGCCCCCACTCCCCCTGCCCCCACTCCCCACTCCCCCCGTCCCCACTCCCCAATCCCCACTTCCCCCGGCCCCACTCCCCACTTCCCCTGCCCTCACACTTCACTCCCCACTCCCCCCTCCCCCCCCCCTCTCTCCACCACTCCCCACTCCCCCCTCCCCTCTCCACCTCTCCACCACTCTCCACTCCCCACTCCCCACTCCCTGCTCCCTTCCCTCGTTCCAGTGACCGACTCTCGAGCACACATCTATCCCCGTTTGGGTGGGTCAAGGCCCACATCTCTCCTCCTTTCTACGGGTAGCAGCAGGGGTAGCTGGCATCGACCCCTACTGCATGGCGATCACAGCGGTGAAGATGCGAGGCATCGACTGGAAGGAGATGGCTGGGGCTCAACCCTTTATCCCCGCTCCCCTGCCCCGCCACCCCTTCCCTCGCCCCAAAGACTGGCCACTCATCACACATCTATCTTCGCTCGCCCGCGTGGCAGCAGGGCTGGCAGGGGTTGGACGCCCACTTGATGGTGATCACAGTGGTGAAGATGCGAGGCATTGGCTGGCAGGAGATGGGAGGGGAACATCTGTTACCCCCACTCCCCTTACCCCCTCCCTACTCCCTTCCCCCCAGTGACGGACTCCTCATCACCCATCTGTCTTCATTCAGGCGTGTGGCAGCAGGGCTGGCAGGGGCTGGACGCCCATTCCATGGTGATCACAGTGGTGAAGATGTGAGGCTTCGACTAGAGGGAGATGGTTGGGGCCCATCGCTTACCCCCACTCCCCTTACCCCCTTCCCCCCAGTGACTGGCTCCTTATCCCCCATCTGTCCTCATTCGGCCGGATAGCATCAGGCCTTGATGGCATTGGCGCCCATTCCATGGTGATCACAGTGGTGAAGAGGCGAGGTATTGAGTTGAGGGAGATGGGCGGGGCGGGGCCCAACTCTGTGTCCCCACTTTCCACTCCTATCACCCACTTCTTTTCCTCGCTCCAGTGACCGCCTTTTGATAACGCACCTCTCCTCATTCGGCCGCGTGGCAGCAGGGCTCGGGGGCATAGACGCCTACTCCATGGCGATCACAGTGGTGAAGATGCGGGGCATCGACTGGCGGGAGATGGGCGGGCCCGTGTGCGAGCGCGTGCCGTGTGAGCCGTGCGATAGCGTTGGAGGGAACGTGCAGTGGGTAAGTGCAGCATGGGTGAGTGGGATGGGCGAGTGGGATGGGTGAGTGTGGGATGGGCGAGTGGGATGGGCGAGTGGGATGGGCGAGTGGGATGGGCGAGTGGGATGGGTGAGTGTGGGATGGGCGAGTGGGATGGGCGAGTGGGATGGGCGAGTGGGATGGGCGAGTGGGATGGGCGAGTGGGATGGGTGAGTGTGGGATGGGCGAGTGGGATGGGCGAGTGGGATGGGCGAGTGGGATGGGCGAGTGGGATGGGCGAGTGGGATGGGCAAGTGGGATGGGTGAGTGGGATGGGTGAGTGGGATGGGTGAGTGTGGGATGGGCGAGTGGGATGGGTGAGTGTGGGATGGGCGAGTGGGATGGGCGAGTGGGATGGGCGAGTGGGAAGGGCGAGTGGGATGGGCGAGTGGGATGGGCGAGTGGGATGGGCGAGTGGGATGGGTGAGTGGGATGGGTGAGTGGGATGGGTGAGTGTGGGATGGGCGAGTGGGATGGGTGAGTGTGGGATGGGTGAGTGTGGGATGGGTGAGTGTGGGATGGGTGAGTGTGGGTCTTCCGATCCCCATGCACGCACCTCCCGCCCTTGTGCGAGCGCATGTCGTCAGAGCATTGCGACAGGTTGGGGGAGTGTGCAATGGATGAGCTTGAGGGAGTGTGGGCAGGGTGAGCATGAGGGAGTGTGGTCTGGGTGAGTGTGAGAGAGTGTGGGCTGGGTGAGGGTGCAATGGTTGAGCGTGGGAGTAGATTTGCATCCCCCATCCCCACGCATGCAGCTCCCACCCTCACATGTGCACCTCCCAACCTCACATGCGCGCCTCCCATCCCCACCCCTCCCACCGGGCAGTCTAGCTGCAGCTGGGACTTCAACCACAGCAGACTGGCTGACAAATGGGAGACGCCAGCCGGGTTTGGCTTATTCGGCGCCAACCCTAACAATCGCACCTCCCAATCCCCCACATGCACCCACTAACCCCCCACCCAAAACAGTCTGGGTGCAGCTGGGACTTCAACCGCAGCAGGCTGGCCCATGGGTCGGATCGGCCACCCGGGTTTGGCTTCTGTGCGGGCTTCCAGTTCGGCCTGCAGGACCGCAACCCGCTCACCTCTCACTCGCCTTAGAGCTTCCTACTACGCACAGGCCAGGGTGTTGAATATGCACAGTTGCACGCCGTGGATGGGAGGGGCCGCCCGGATTTGGCTTCTGTGCTGGCTCCCAATTCGGCCTGCAAGACTGCAACCCGCTTGCTCCGCACCTTGCATGAAGATTCTGGAATTGGAACCAGGCCTGACGTTTAAAAAAAACCCACTGATTTTGGCCCCAAAAAAAATTCCCAAGTCTGAGTAGCCAGGTTTCAGATTTCAGGTACCGTAATCACCCGGATAGACTCCCTTCCGTAGGATAAGTCCCATGGGCTTTATCTCGTGCTTTGGGCCTTATAGCTACTATTCGATTAAACGCCCCCCCTATTTTTAGAAAGTGTGTACCCTATACGCCCCTCATTTATTTCGTAAATACTGCACAAAAACGACGGAACGAATTCGGGTAATAGCGAGAAGCGCAATTTGCGCCCTTCAGCTCTTCGCGCCAGCAAGATTCGCGTCAGAGCGGCCTGTTTCCAGCTTGGCACATTGCCGACTGGACTTTCAGCGCGATGGATGTGAGAATTTTCGTCAAAAGTGATCCCATTTGCATGAAACAAAGCAAAAGCTACAATCTGATGTAGAAATATCAATTCGCATATATACATTTTTCAATGCCCATGTGCGAATATTTTTATTCAATTAAACGCCCCCCCACGTTTTCAAACCAGTCCTATAAACGCCCCTAGGGGCGTCTATCCGGGTGATTACGGTAGTCTGATTTTGCAGGATCCAGTGAGTCTCAAGTCTGATTTTTTCAGGGTTCACATGTATCAATCAGAGTCGTGATTTCACCATTTACTCGCCATCATTTCATAACATTTTGGCAGTTAACCAACACCTACTCTAATTTCCTAGCCTATCTAGAACTCTGGCACATCCACAGAGACTACATCAGGGCCTCAGATTTCAAGGAAAATTTCCCTGATTTAGGGTTTTTTCAGAAGTTTTTTTGGTACCGATCCTGATGCGCTAGGATTTTTTTGAGACACAACCCTGAAATTTCAGGGTTTTTTTATGAGTAAACTCTGTTTGTACAGCATTGTAATTGTCGTAGGCCTTGTAGCCTTTGCCTAACGGGCAGCTACCCCTGAATCTTATAGCAGCGTGATTCTGGGCCCTGCCATAATATCCAAAAGTTTCCCCCGATCGATGTGTGCTGGGGGTTTGTGTGAGAGCACTTGACCCTTCACCAAATTTAGGGCTAGAGTATGCTGGGGGATTTGTGAGGGAACTTTTTGGCCCTTCGCCAAATTTAGGGCTGGCGTATGTTCGGGGATTTGTGAGGGAACTTTTTGGCCCTTCGCCAAATTTAGGGCTAGCGTGTGTTGCGCCATGTGTGAGGCACACATTGGGCGTGTGTTGGCTTGGCTTTGTGAGGCCGAGATTTCCTCCTCCCGCCCCTGCAATCTTGCTCAGCTATGCGATTGGATCGATCGGCGAAATTTGATTGGCCGCAGCTTAGTGAAAGTGTCGCCACAAAAATTGATGGCTTCAACATCATCATGATTCCCGCGGGAATCCTCCCTCCCTCCATCCCCCCCCCCCCCCCCCTCCCACTTTGTCCCATCCCTGCCCTCCCCGAATGTCGTTTTGCCCATCTCCCAATTTTCGCCAAATCAGCATGAAATTCTGAAGTAACCCTGGTTACTTAGCGGATTTTTTTTTGGGAGGCCTGAAAAATCAGGGTAAAACATGGGGGGGGACCCTGAGCAATCAGGGTACCTTAAAACCAATCCGAGGCCCTGGACTACATCCTCTGCCTCATCATCCGACAGGAAGGGGTTGTCTTCTATTGCTGCTGCACCTCCACCATCCCTCTCCCCCTCCTCCTCCTCATCCCAATTCTTTCCCAAGAAGTCGGGCACCGGAGGTTCGTGCTCTGCCTCTTCCAGTAGAGCCTTGCCCTTGCGCTTCCTCTCTTGTGATGCGAACACCACCGACTTTGCTGGTCTTCTCTTCTTTGCGTGCCACAGCTCCAGCGCTTCCTACCAGTTGATCTCGTATTTCAGCAGCGAAATAATCATCAGCTCGCCCAGGCGGGCATTGCATAGTGCACCGTGGACCCAAGACTTGATCACGTTCTGCCTGGAAAAACCACGCTCGCACTCCACAGTTGAGAATGGTAACACCGCGCATGCTTGCCAAAGAAGAATGAGGTTGGGCCGTCGCCTGTTTATGGAACAATCACACACAAGAGGCATGGAACAATAGAATTAGGAACAAACTAGTGGCATGGTGGGCAAGGAACAATAGAATTAGATACAAACATAGACAGGCATGGTGGTCAAACTGACAAAAACAATCATACACAGGCACGCAGAGCAGCGTGCTTTGGAGGCTCGACTTACCTGCTTGACTCCGTATTGCCAAGGTAGTTCGTGAGGCCCTGGTAGAAGCCCTCCTCGTTGTGGTGGTTCTGTATCATCGGGGCCTAAGTTGCCAGCTCCTTCTCCGCCTCCTTCAAATCGAACCCGGGGAGCCTGTCGTCGAAGATAGCACTGCAGCCATGGAGATACTCCCTCGTCTTCTTCTCCTTCACCATCCGAAGCCGCGGCCATGTGCTCGCCCGAAACAGCTTCGTTGGCCCGAGCTTCGACAGGTCGTCCAACAGCTCCAGCAGGTTCGTCATGCCCCCCCTCGCGAACTTCGCGCACAACAGTTCGCAGTCCCGGTAGTTGCTCTGGTAGACATGCCCCTTGATCTGCCGCTCGTGCATCTGGTACGTGTGCGTCACCGGCTGCCCGTCCTTGTCGACGCCGCGCACCTTCACTCTCTTCGCCCCCCCGCGCCCGTACACGGTTAAGAAAGCCGACAGCCACGTGCCGCTTACGCCCGCACCGAAAAACCCGCCGCACTCCAAGTAGCGGTGCTGAAGATCCCACACCGCCTCGTCGACGTCCTGCGCTATCTCGGTGACATCCACCTGCGATCGGGCGGGGGTGGCGGGAACATAGGGGCGCAAGTCAAGGGGCAGAATGTTAGTGCTGATTGTGAAAGAACATACCACAAGCTCACATGCAAGGGCTCACCTCTCGCTTCTGAAACTTGAGGTTGAGCTCGTTCATGATGGCGAGGACCTCGGCCAGGAAGAAGAGACAAAACTGAAACTTGTATGAGATGACAAACTCGTACAGCTCATGCTTACACTCAAACAGTAAAACGATGGCAGCACCGAGGACCTTACAGAGGCGTCTGACTGCCTCGCCCCTTGACAGCCACCGAATCGCGTGGATTCCTTGAACTTCAAGGTTGGTCTTGTGGATGACACGCTGCAGGTACTTGAACCGTTGGCTCCACATGCTTGAGCGGCTGAGGAGATCGGCCAGAGTTCGGATAACCTTTTCGACCATGTCCAAGTCTGGACAGGCAGACGCGGCGTCCTTCACAGCCAGAGCATCCCTGCGCATAGTCCATAGAAACAAATTAGTAAACGATTAAAAACAAAGCGAGAACATAACATAATGAGTCTATACCAGTGGGCGATGCAGTGGGACGACACAAGGTGAGGGATGTGCTCGCGGAGCCACGCCATGAGACCGTTCTCGCGCCCAACCATGACGGAAGCGCCATTGGTGCTGATTCCCGCAATGCGGTTGAGTTCGATGCCGGCACCTTGAAGATGAGTGAGGAGCACGGAGAGCAGGGAGGCATCGTCGCACTTCTCGACGGTCAGCAACAAGAAGAATTCGGTGACGACGCGGCGATGGCGCAGGAACGTGAGGTACACTATCAGGTGCTTCCCTCTGGTACGATCAGTGCTCTCGTCGCAACTGATGCCGATGAACGGGAACTATTGAATGTGCTGCATCTAGGTCCGTTGAAGAAGAGTCGCCAAGTAGTGGACCATCTGTTGAAAGCCGTACCTGCACGCAGAAGAGGATTAATTGTTAAAATGATCCAACGGGCAGAGTAATGGAATGTACTCGCGGGTACTTACCGAGTGAGGTAAACACCGTAAGACTGGAGCGGTAGGTCTGGGGTGTCCTGCTCAGCCATAAAGCGACATAGCCAAGGAAACATGCTGATAGGAGCATCGACCTTACAGAGAAACTCAACGGCGCGGAGCAGTCGCACGACCCGCCTCCCCTCGACATCCGACGTCAAGTAGTTGTCAATCCTCTTCTGACCATCAGCGATGTCGTTGGCAATCTTCAGCTGGGCCTCCACAGCTTCCTTGTGTGCAGAGGAGTGTTCGTGTATGCGCATGGTCTATGTTTGCAGGTCTTGGCCACCGTCGCCCGAAGAGCTGTATTTGGTGGTCTCCTTGCCATACGTCATGCAGACACTGCACTTGAGAGCAGGGTAGCCATCTTTTGTTTTGGTTAGCAGTAGCCATGGAAAGAAAGGCAGCCATGAAGTTATGTACTTTGCTTCAGCGACGAGGTATTTCTGCTCAATCAATTCCTTCTTACTCAGCTTTGGCGGTGGCGGTTCATCAACGACAGGGACTGCACTAGGTGATGGCGGCGGGGACGGGCAGCGGAGCCTACCTCCGATCATGATTTGGGACTGGGTGTACTTGCCCGTCCGTTGTTTCTTCGCAGACGGAATCGTGGACGTGGAGGGCACGCAGTAGCGGACTGTGGTGGCGGTGATGCAGTTAACGGGCAGAGTCGGGCCTCTGCTGGATGAGGCGACGGCTGGCGGAGGGACATATGGTGGTGGCGCGAAGGGCGCGGACGGAGGTGGGTTTAGAGCAGGCTGGGTTTCCTCCGCTGCGGAGGGAACCACAACAGCTACGATGGGAGGAGAACCTAACGAGCACAGTATGTCTAACGCGGAGCGACGAACCTCTGCAGGCTCGTTACTATGAGGTGGTTCATCAGCGCTGGGCTCATCGTCCTCTTCTACAGGAGTCCCCATCATGGCTGTTGACGGGGTCAACAAACGAGAACCTACGTAAGGAGGACAACTCCGAAACACGGATTGAGGAGGAAGCTTTACAAATCCCACCTAAATGCCTGAGTGCGCCAGAGAGGAGGGGGAGGGATGAGAGGGATGAAGAAGAAGGGCACCATCAAGCCCGAGGCGCGTATTTCTTGGTTAACCCTCGTCAGCTTTTGGACGGCAACCCCTTCCAAACCCGCGCCGCCATGCCAAAAATGAGCTGACATTACGAACCATGTGTTGGCATAGAATGTCGCCAAACACGGTCAATTTTGCACATGCCAGCGAGGGCAAGTTTCCCGCATTACCAGCCTTTGCTGGCTTCCAACACACCCACGTAGAGGTCCTTAGCAGGCACGCATGGTAGGATGCATGATGCGCTGAGCGGCTAAGTCCTTGTTGAGGGCAGCATCCCAGTCACACAAGGGGCGGGAATCCTGGCAATTGCAGATACTTCACGTGAGACGTGTGGGGGTGAAATGATGACATGCAG